AATCCAGCCCAACCTGTAGACCCCAACTGTCTATTGAGGTTTTACTGGCAAGGAGGAACAATCTAATTTCCTCAGGCCCTATTCTCCCCCACTCCTTTTTCTGCTAACAGCAGGAAGCATAAAGAGTAGGGGGAAGTGAGTCATTCTGCCTTTACATCCAAGGTCCTTTTAGTGCCAATGAGAACGTGTCTGTTCCTGTTGCCCTCTAGCCCTAATTAATCTCTTCCTGTTCACCAGGTGAGCAGAGGATTCTGCATTTGCTTCCCTCCAAATCTGTTTTCAAGGTTCAACTCAAGCCCCTTTCTAGAAAACCTTCTCTAGCTACTCCAGTCCATGGGGATTTCTTCCCTCCTCTTAAGTGGTTTCCCTTGGCAGCCCATGGTGTAGCGCCTAATCGCACTCATGCTCCAGTTCACCTGCTCTGCCATACTCTACTAACCTGTAAAAACTTCTAGGCACAGGGGCCATGCTATGAAATGTCAAAACAAACGATTTGGGTTCCAAAGCTGGTTTCATGATAGATTAGCTTTGTGACCTTCATTAAAGGATGAAATTCTCTGAGCTTCTCTTTGCTCATCAGTAAAGTCCTCCCAGCAGAACTGGAATTATATAACACAGAAGAACCCTGAAGAAACTATAGTTAATAATAATACTGTTGACTACCAGACACTCAAAAATTCACCCTCACTTTTTATCCCTCCATTCTTCCCTCCCTTTCTTCTTCGTGATTATTCTAGATGATTGCCTATTGCACTAGGAGCTCAGGCTTGGCATATTATGGGTGCTCAGTAAACTTCCTCCTTCGATAGATTCTTCATCTCATTAATGGCAAGAGTGATGTCCATTCAGCTCACCCTGGTTATCATCTAGTTCACAGCCTGTGCCTCCCACAAAGCTGATCCTCACTGATACTTGTTGAGTCAATGAATTGTGTGCTCTGAGAGTTCCAGGAAGAGTGAGTGTGCAGTGAAAGAGCAGGAGGAAAACAACCTCCAGGCTGCACAAAGGAAGTTCTGTAAAGGATGGAAAGTGGTAGCTGCCTATGGGAAGAGTTTTTTGAGCTATTGGTAAGAAAAGGAGCAAAACCACTTACATGCTAGCACTTTCTGGACTTGGATGGAAAGATAAAGGGAGCATTGATAGAGAGCAATGGGATCTTTAAAAAAGAGAAATCCCTGGGAGTCCTCAGAGAGCTGATACATAAGAGCACTGAATGTGCCTTGGATGAACGTCTTCTTTTCCAACACAACTATATTTTACCTGCTGGCAAAGAGCAACAATTCACTTGTAGCACAGGAAGAAAGCTGCTGAAAATCAAAGGCAAGCAGCAGGCTGGAACCTAGGAGGAAGTCCCACGTCCCCATCCCCAGACAGAAAGGCTGGGAAGAGAGTACTTTAAATTCTGCTCTGCCGTTTTCTGAGAGAAGATGATTCTGTTGTAAATTATTGAACATTTCATTTAAGCTTCATAAATAAGGAACTTGGATGAAAACGTTACATGTTAGATCCGTTTGGCAACATATAATTTCTGTCTTACTCCCTCGATCTGTCACCCTTCATTTATGTTGGAGAATTTCTACTTCATTACAGGCAATTGAAGGTCTCAATCAGTTGCCTGAGAAAAGTAGTTTATGTCCCAAAGGTAATCTAATTTCTCTAGCCAAGGATGTACCTGGGACTCGCTGAACATATTGACGGAGATAAATGTGTGCTTCAAATGGATCTGGGGGCACCACAATCACCCACTCAATCTAGTAACGGGTACTCGGCCCAGGAAGGAGCCAGCTCCCCACTGATATCTGGACTCCCTGAATCACTGGTGTCATCAGTGCCATTAGCTCAGCCTCAGCCAACTGAGAAGACAAAGGCAGAGGACCACCCTGTACCTGCAGGGGGCACTTTTTGTAGCTGATGAGATCCCCCACCAAAAATAGGATTCACGATAGCTGAAAAGTTCTCTGAGCATGGTGACCATACTGGCTGGGCCTGACACTGGACATTATGTACATGGGCTCATTTAATCCTCACAATGCCCCTCCACATAAGAGACAGTGATTCCTGCCACTCCACAAAACCTGAGGCCTGAAGATGTTAAGTAGTCAAAATTTCACAGGTAGAAGGTGGCAGAGCTTGAATAGAAGCTTAACTCTGGCAGGCTGCAATCTGTCAAGAGTCATCGTTTACCTCCAATGGTGCTGCTTCAGAGAAAGAAGGAAGGGTTAGGGAATGGGTAGTTTCTGGCTGGTTCTACAGCGTTCCAGCAAGCACACACAGTAAGGCCTTGTAGTTCCTGCCATCCTCAAGTGGGGGTGGTATTTGCATTCCCTGTACCAAAGACATACCAGGGGTAAGGACTCAGCATCCTGAGCAACCATGCAGCATTCCCCTTCATGAGACTAGATCAGCTGCTAAGGGAAGGCTGTTCAGTGCATGTCTAATCAAGACAATTTCAATGATTTCGGGGACCAATAGAATCACAGCTGCTCTGGAGTGGGAATAAAATGATCGAAGGGGTAGGATTTTCCAGCCATCCTAAAACTCCTCATGAGGCCAGGAGCCTGAGTGTCAGCTTCAGCTGTTCACAGACTTATTCCATATCTTCATTTCTTTTATAAAAAAGATTTAAGTACTAGATTGAACTGTGTTCCCCCTAAATTCATGTAGCCTAGGATATGACCTTATTGGGCAGTAAGGATTTGAAAATTAAAAATAAAATAAAATAAAATAGGATAAGACATATTCCTGCTGAATTAAAGTGGCCCCGAAATCCAAAGTGACTGCTGTTCTTACAAGAGAAGGCACAGACATATAAGGAAGATGCCATGTGTTGTGAGCTGAAGTTTGTGGCTCCCCAAAAATTCATACACTGGAATCCTCATCCCCAAGATGATGGTATTAGAAGATGGAGACTTTGGGAGGTGGTAAGGTTATAAAGGATGGGGCCCTCACAAACAGTATTAGTATTTTTATTGGGGAGCCCAGAGTGTTCTCTTGCTCTTTGTGTCATATGAGGACACAAGAAGAAGAGGGCCCTCATGAACTAGGAAGCATGCTTCCCATGTGAATCTTGTGGTACCTTGGTCTTCGACTTCTTAGCCGCTAGAACTGTGAGAAGTGTTTGTTGTTCAAGCTACCTAGTCCGTGATAGCTTGTTATGGCAGTCCAAGCTAAGAAACTAAAGCACAGAGTCAGAGATCAGACAGATGGCAGCTGCAACTCAAGGGAGGTCCACAATTACAACCAGAAGCTAGAAAGATACAAGAAGTTTCTCCCCTACCACCTGTAGAAGGAGCATAACCTCATTGATTTTGGACTTCTACTGGACACCATAATTATGAGAATATAGCTCTAGTGCTCTCAGTCATCTTCTTTATGGCCAGTGGTCATAGCAGCCACAGGAAATTAAAGCAGACAGAGAAAACAGTACCCATCCCACCTTCCTCATGGTGAGGGTCAAAACACATTCACATTCCTTATGGTGAGGGTCAAAACACATTCAAGTATTTTGGAAAGAACAAGTATTACAGAAACTCAGAACAGCATAATCATTGGATGTGATTCAGACAGGCTCACACAGGGTTCCATGAAGAACCTACCAGAAGGAATTAGACTGGCCATGGCCAGAGAAGGGGGTGCTCTACTACCAAAAAAAAAAAAAAAAGATCTTGTTACATTTTTTTATAATCCCAGGTCTTAATAAATGAGGATGAATTTGATCCTAGAATAAGGACTTACAAAAGATGTCCACACATGAATCTCTGGCACCTATGCTGTGTCATCTTATATAGCAAAAAAAGAAATGGTAGAATGATCAAGTTAAGGATCTTGAGGTGGGGAGATTACTCTGTACTATCATCGCAAGAGTCCTTAAAAGATAGGGCAGGGAACCAAGAGTTGGAGCAGAAGTTGTGATGAAGAAGTCAGAGAAAAACATAGTTGAAATTTCTATGCTGCTGGCTGTGAAGGTGGTGAAGAGGCCACAAGCCAAGCAATGTGGGTGGCCTCAAGAAGCTGGAATAGGCAACGGAAGGGATTCTTCCTTAGCGTATCCAGAAGGAATCCAGCCTTTTTGAACCATTTTAGTCTTTGGACCTCCTGAGCTATAAGATAATAGATTGCTGTTGTGTTAAGTCACTCAGTTGCAGTAATTTGTCACAGCAGAAGTAGGAAATTAATACATCAATCAAATAAGTTAGTCAGAAAATGAATATGGAGAAAGGCAGGGAAAGATGACAGTTAATTCCAGACATTTTTGGGTGCTCAGTGAGCCTTCATATTTACCCCCAAATAATTTCTCTAGAGAGGCATATACCCTTTGGTTGGACAGTTTTACATGGTCTGTATTTTCCATCAGCCCCCAGAGATCATCCAAAAATTGGGTTCATACTCTAGGACCTGAATTACTCCCCTTGGTAGGGAACCCACAAGTCTTTCACGTTACTACAATAAAGGCCTGACAGCTTTGTGCTCAAAGAGAAAGTCCCTCCATTGGTGTTGCCTAAAGGACTCCAGGAGTCCTCATATGCCTTTTCCCTATATATAGAAGGTTCAGCTTGTTCCTCACCTACAACATTCAAGAAATGCTTTCAGTTCCATAATCTACTCCTTTCCTCTCAGTTATGCACTCCCCCAGTTCACAATTTAAACAATAAATCTCTTCTTTGGTTGTATTAGTAACCAACCCGAGGCTCTAAGTACCACAGGGAGACCTTCCACAGGGGACCTCACTTCTGAAGGTCATTGTCCAGGGCAGCCTCACTGCCTTCCCAAAGGAACAAGCTGCACAAAGTAAGCTCTGCACTGACCAGTTCATACTATTGACTAGGTATGGATTTCTTAAGTGGTAAGAATGGGATTTCCTATTAGGGAACATTAGGAAAGAATTCAGGAAAGACTAAACACAAGATTTGAATGGAGTGTGAGGTCATTCACTTTCCTCCTTTCAGCTTGCCCCACTTCTACACACATGAAATAACCTTTTCTTTTGTATCTGCTAATAGGTCTGGTACCTGGCACTGAGTATGGAGTTGGAATATCTGCTGTTATGAACTCACAACAAAGCGTACCAGCCACCATGAATGCCAGGACTGGTGAGTAGGAAGACTGGTCATAAAAATACTAGGACACCTTGTAAGCCTGAGGAGCCATGAAGGCTTGTCCTGGCAAGGACAGGAAGGCCTAGTCCCCTCAGTCTAGAGGTCCCTGAATAACAGCTATCAGCCTAGGAACATCTACCTGCAGCTCTTTGATCCCCATGCCTAATCTCTGCAGTCTGGAATGCAGAAGGGAGTCCCTCCCCTACCCCACAGAGCTGCGCATGGTCCCTCGGGGACTGAAAGGTTGCCAAGAGCTGTGCAGAGCAGTGATGGAAAACCGCAAATTGTCTGGGGTCATAGCGATTCATACTTCTACCTAGATTACCCCCTACAGGCAGAATGTGGTGTCCTCATGTGTACCTCAGAAGCCCTCAAAAAGGTCACAGAGCACAGTTCGAGACATGGGACAACTCACTAAATCTAAAAGCAATGGAAAAGTTCACTGGATCCAGCACTTTTACTTCCAAATCCCAGGAAGTCATTTCTGCCCCTTAGGTTGAAGCAATTTGGACCTGACGGAGGGACTAATCCCTGTTCCATTCTAGCAAAGGCAACCTCTCTAGAAAAGCATATGGAGAGGAGGGCCCACAAGTCCTCAGCTCTAGTTCCCTGCTCATCCTTGGTCATTATGGCCTCGGGAATGGGTAGAGTATCAATGGCACATTCCTAATTGATAGTGGTTCCTGCTTTGCCCTGATTGGCTTCCTGAGAAAGGCTGGGAAAAAATGAATATGAAGAGTGTGAAAACCAGCAGCCCGCTCAATCCCAGAGGTAGTTTTAGAGCCTTTCTGTAGATTGTCCATCTGTTTGTCAAGCCTCTGGCCATCTTTCAAAGGGAAGATGCTTAGCAAAATGTGAAATGTGTCAGCAATGACAAACTAATCCTCACAGTCAGTAGGCCAGCTCACAGTGTTAAAACACACTGGGGTGTCCAATGCCAAAAACTACTGGTGCTCTTATGAGACCTGTGTAAAAGAGGCCACTTCTGCTCATCCATAGAACTTGATAGTCCTCGAGACCTCATGGTGACAGCCTCCTCAGAGACCTCTATCTCCCTCATCTGGACCAAGGCCAGCGGCCCCATCGACCACTACCGGATTACCTTTACTCCATCCTCCGGGATCGCCTCAGAAGTCACAGTCCCTAAGGACAGGACCTCATACATCCTGACAGATCTAGAGCCTGGCGCTGAGTACATCATTTCCATCACCGCTGAGAGGGGTCGGCAACAGAGTCTGGAGTCCACTGTGGATGCTTTCACAGGTGCCAGGACAGCAGAACCTCAATTGGGCTCTGGGATTAAAGGCACTTACTATTAGCGGGTCATACAGGCAACCCACTTCTCCAATGTGCCACTTCCTTTAGAGAAAGGAGAAGCATGGGTCGGGCATTAGAGACAGACAAGAAGCTAATAATTACATCAAGAGGGAATGGTTAGATGTAAAGGGGAGAAAAGGGAAAATTTGTGTTTGGTTTCCTATAGCCTGGACATAGTTGCTGATTCTCTTTTTCTTCCTGCACTAAATTGGTGGGCATTCAGGGAATCATGTTTAATTCCTTCTAGGATAGAGGTTTAAGATCTTGGATCAGTATTATGACTAACTCACGGAGATAATGCTGGCTTTATCTTGCTAAATGTATTCATTTTTCATGATGTGAGCTGAAAAGAGTGAGCAGGGCTGGAGAGTAAGGATTGTGGGTCAGAGAAAGAAGGGCAGTCCCTGTCAGCACAGAAAGCAGCCCCCTCAGTCAGATGACGTCCTCACATGTATTTCAGAACCACCCATGTCCTCTGCTTTGCAGGCTTCCGCCCCATTTCCCACTTGCACTTTTCCCATGTGACATCATCCAGCGTGAACATTACCTGGAGTGACCCATCACCCCCAGCAGACAGACTCATTCTGAACTACAGCCCCCGTGATGAAGAGGAAGAGATGATGGAGGTCTCCCTGGATGCCACCAAGAGGCATGCTGTCCTGATGGGCCTGCAGCCAGCCACGGAGTACATCGTGAACCTGGTGGCCGTCCATGGGACAGTGACCTCTGAGCCCATTGTGGGCTCCATCACTACAGGTGAGGTTGGAGGACTTGACAGCAGGTATTAAAGGGGGTTCCCATAGTGGCTTTTGACAAATCAAAGAAATTTACAAAAAAAAAAAAAAAAACAAAAAAAAAAGAAACAAACTTGCTCCTGGTTTGTTTCTTAGAATAAATCTAAGAAAAAGATGTGCAAGCGATCGGAAGAGCACACGTCTGAACTCCAGTCACTGCTCGAGTATGCATATGCAAACAAATTTAAAAAAAAAAAAAAAAAAAAACGAAGAGGGAGGGGCTTGCCTCATTTGACTGGAGGTGTCTATAAATTATTCTATAATAGTCACCTCTTTAAGAACTGCATGAAATGCATGCAGTGAGAATCTTCTGTTGAGAACTAGGACAAGGGGGCCTTCCTGGTGATGCAAGGGGTTAAGATCAGCATTATGAAGCTATCCACAGCCACTGTAGCATGAATTCGATCCTAGCCTGGGAGGTGACCCACATGGCACAGGAGACCTCTCCTGTCTCACCCAAGCTCCCCTCAGCAGTGTACTTCAGTACATCTGCCTGTTCTGCTCCCCACTCTGTCTCTGGTGAATCCTCTCATCATCTTTCCCTTCCCCCCAGCACTTCTTGTCCTTGTATACATAAATAAATAAAATATATCTTGCAACAAAAGTAGAAAGTAGGACAAGCCTAACGTCTTACAAGCCCAATGTCTTGAGGCCAGAGCCCCACTGCATTGATCCAGAGGTCCTCCCAGGCAAGCATACCAAGAAGAAACCTTTTACAGTGAAGAGGCACCTGTTCCCACTCTCAAGAGCCATCTCTGAACTGCTTAGCAAGGCTACTGATGCAAGTGATGATCCCTCAGAATCTTATGGAGGTGACATGCAGTCATGTAGCAACTGGGTACTCAGAGAATGGTGTCTATTTGCCTGATGTCTGAAAAACAAGAGCACATTGAGATGAACTGGATCATTTGCCTTTTATCATTCCCAATGCAATCCCAAATAGTCCACTTGTCGATGAGGACATATGCATTTGAGAGGTTTCTTACATACTCAAATCGCAAACTGGACAAGTGGATTAAATACATAGCTGCTTTCAACTTTGCAATCCTCTAGCAGTAAAACAATAAAATACTCAGTATAAATGAAATACAGTTTATAAAAGTGGATTTGTCCTGGGCTTATGCTCTGAAATCTCTCTACAGTCAATAAACAGTTTTCCCAAATTAAACCAAAAAATATTGAGACAGAGAGCTAGGTTTGTCCTAGAGAAGTGACTCCAGAAAAAAACAACAAGATTACCTTTGGCTCAAAACCAAACACATGAACTTTAGGGCAAGTTCCCAGCAGGCCTTTACATAGGTAATAATCATGTACAGACACAGGCCTGGCAGGCTTGACTTCATGTGGTTAGAATGACCTTCATGAGCAGGGAGTTGGCCATAGCCATGAAGTTGCAAGTGAGGCTTCAGTCTGGACAGATTTTAAGGACACCCTAGTACTCAGTGGGTCATTTCTACTTCTAGAGACCATGAAGATCTTGGTCCACATAAAACTTGGAAAAGAAGTTGCTTTTCAAATTGTGCTTTCTGTCCTTTTCTCACCACTACCCGGTTCCTGGTAGGAATTGATCCTCCCAAAGATATCATAATCAGCAATGTGACCAAAGGCTCAGTTGTGGTGTCCTGGAGCCCTCCTGTTGCACCTTTTGATTACTACCGAGTCTCATATCGGCCAACACAAGGTAATTCAGTTATTGATTTCTCAAAGATGAGTGAGATTTGCAGTTGGGGGAAGACCACTATGGGAGAATTAGCATAGGCCATTGGCTGTCACTGTTAGCATGCTTTCCTTTCTGTGTCATGCTTCACTGAAATAAGAGTGGGTTGATGAGGAGCAGCCAAGAGACCCTGTATTCACCACTCTTCTTGCAAGAGGCTTAATTATAGTCATCCAGGCAGCAAGCCCTTCACCAGTTGAGGTAACTGGCCATCATTATCTACACAGTGTAGTGAGAAACAAGGAGTCCTAGAATAATCTGCCAGGAGGCAGGGTCATGTTCCCTCTCCTGAGAGAGGTAAATCCAGGACCAGACTCCTGGCGATGTCTAGGGACCCAGCAGAGCCATGGAAGGATTGCATTATGGTGGTCCTATTTCTGACACTCTTAGCAAGTTATGAGTCAGAGGACATTAACCCAGACTTTATCTGCTTCCTGTCAATTCTTTTTAGTACAAGTCTGGGGAGAGGGTCATGCTCACTTTCAGTGAGGAGGTGAGATAGGTTTCCACATGATTCATCTTTGGGCTCCATGAATCACTTTGTAGCCATCCTCTCTACTCTGTTTTAAGACCAGCTTGTCAAAAGCCATCTAACAAATAGTTCTTTTTTTCTTTCTGTAAAATGAGGGGGTGGGGCCAACATGGATGAATTCTTCAGGTTCTAACATTCCAAGTCCATGAACCATTTTTCTTCTCTCCCACTGTGGTGACTTACATTGCACTGGACTTCATGCCAGAGGCCCACAGGGTCCCCATGCAGACTGCACCATGAATGAGGGTGAATGAGGGATACACTGATCTCTAACCGTGGCTTCTGTTCCTCCTAGTGGGTCGGCTAGACAGCTCAGTGGTGCCAAATACTGTGACAGAGTTCACCATCACCAAGCTATATCCAGCGACTGAATACGAAATCAGCCTCAACAGCGTGAGAGGCAGGGAAGAGAGTGAGCGCATCTGCACCCTCATGCACACAGGTAGGTAGAGCTGCCTGTCTTGGGCTGTGTCGGGCCCTAGCAACAAAATGAAGAGGCAAGGGGTAGAGATATTTTTGAATAATCCTTGGCTCTGGGCCCAAGGTTGTATTCCTAGATGCATCCCCACTAAGTGATGTGCAGTTTCTCTCCCCACCCCCACCCCCATACTTCTCTCTAAAGCTGGGAGTTTACAGTCACCCTCTAGGTATCTTACTGACTTACGTCAGCAATTTTCATGAAACTTCCAATATGAAAAATGACCTTTAAAGATATGTGAAGGAAGTGAATTTCAGAACAGACATCCAAATCATCCTCTGTACTTTTTTAGACAACTCAAAGGAGATTTCCTCTCCAAGAAGGACAACTAGAATTCCAACAACCATTCTTATAGTCATATGTGACCAGAAACCATCAAGTAGTTGCATTACCTCTTGCTCAAAGTTCAAAGGAGAAAGAAAGTGGTTTATTCTAGAAAACTAGCATTGGATGGGACTGAGGACAAGCCATGACTCCTTCAGCAACTCTACCCCCCCCCATTCTCTGCCCCTCAACCAGCCCACTCTGCAGAATCAGGGAAAATTCAATGTAAAAGTCATAGGGGACAGTCAATATTTCTTTCTCCATCCCCCAGACTAACCTCCACTAAGCTATTGTTCCCAAGACCCATGGAAAAAATATCCAGTTTTCCTCATAGGAAAATGTCTGAATTTCCTGAGGTGGCTTAATTTCCTGAGACTGATATTTCCTGAGTGGGGGAAAAGTAGCTTGGAATTTCTCATAGCATGTGTAGATGCCCAGAAAGAACATCTGTAAGACAACCAAGGATACATTCATTCATAAACTCAAAAAAATTATTCTTTTAAAGACCTCAGAAGGTGTTCTGATCCTCCCTACACTCCTTCTAGACCTGTGACTACAGACAACTCAGCCCTGTTTTTGGTTCAGTCTTATTTAGCTTTTCCATCAAATTACCTGTGGCCACTAAGGTAGCAATAAATATTGACCCAAAGTGATGCCCAATGAGTCCAAAGACATCCCCTTTGCATCTTCCTGAATGTTTTAGAAATTCTTAATTAAGCTTCTTCTCCTTGAGGACAATAAAATGAACTTCAAAAGCTACTAAAGGACGAGACAAATAGCTCATTCCTTGGGTCCTTCCTTGGTGATACGCAGCAAGCATCTCTAGAACGGATAGTCCAACTGAAACTGCCCTCCTCCAAGTTGGGCAGACGTATCTCAACAACTTCCAGACTGCTCACATAAATGTCTTATTTCATGGCTGCGTAAGTTTATAATTTTACAACTTTGGAAATGAGTACTCCTCCGGGGTCTTCTGCTAACCTCAGAGATCAAGCTAATCAGAGTCTCCTAAGATTTTTCATCTTCTTTTCTCATAAAGTTGCTTTTGTAGGCCTTGCTGAAGGCAGGTTATGGATACAATTCAAATGTTACAATTGTAAAAATATTTTTAGGTTGTTGCTTTGAAATGAGGGACAAACCTAAGCAATGAAAATGTTCAGTTAGAGAACAGGGATGGATCAGCAGCACATTTTCATGCCCAAAACTAAATGAGGATGAGCTGACACCAAGCTTCCATAATAACATTGATTTCTAAAATAATCCTGAATTTAAGGGAACGAGGTATCATAATGAAACAAAGGCATAGAGCATGTGATAGTGAGAACAGGAATGAGAGCTGATGACAAGAAAACTCTGTTCTGCAGACAGGCACACTTGTTCTTAAGCCTGGAAGAATCTCCTTGACTCTCTATGCCACAGAAAAGATACCCAGGGCTCAGTACAGAATGACTCTTATGAGTGATAAAGCAAGAATTCAATAATCAGATATGACTTTGGAGAAAGCTTGAGTGGTATTCAATCACTGGCCAAGTACTTATCAAGGACCCTGTAAGTTCTAGGTGCTAGGGATACACCTACTTTTATGGAGTTCCCACTTTACTTTTCCAAGTTCATCAACAGAGACCATTCCACAAGGTAGATCTTTAAATTCACAAAATTCCAAGAAACATGGGGGTTATATCTTTGGTTTCTGTTACCATCTGAAAGGAGGGTTTTGTATAAAACCTTTCTAAGCTGAAATGGCATAAAATGAAAAAATGACCATTAAATCATATGGAAAAATTACTGACAATTCTCGAACAACCTAATAAATCATATCAAATGTCCATACCAATAAAACCTAAAATAATACTAACATATAGTAAAAACAGAAAGTATATGATAATACTTAGCCTTTGTAAAGTAGTCTGTGGGGAAGGAGTTTGGGTGAGACACTGCTGCTTGGGGTGCCGTTACCTCTAGACCAGTTGCTGCCAAACAAATGCTGAACTCTACTTTCGCTTTTTGCGTTTTGTAATAGAAGTGAAAATATTCTTCAGATTTCTTTCAGTTAGCAAAAACAGGTACTGTTATAGGTCTTTTCCAAAAGTAAAATGGCTGAATCTGAGCTTTCAAAAAGTGTGGGATGGGCCCTCCCTGGTGATGCAGCGGGTTAAAGCACAGCACTAAGAAGCTAAAGCCACCTCAGCATAAGTTTGATCCCCACCCCAGAGGTGATCCCACATAGTGTGGCAGACCTCTCCTGACCTACTGCTGCTCCCCTCAGCAGTGTACTTCATCAGTCGGCCTGTTCTGCTCCCCTCTCTGTCTCTGGTGAATTCTCTCACTGCCCCTGCACTTCTGGCCTATACCCCAGCTCTGTATGCATAAATAAGTAAATCTTTTTTTAAAAAGTGGGAGATACCTGTGTCACATTAAATAAAGAAATACAACAATTTCTAGTTGGTCTCTATGTAGGTCTAAAGGTCTAAAACACAATAGCATAAGAACTGCGCTAAGATTGTGGAATTTCCTACAGCATCTGAGCCTCTGACAATACTCATAGTAAGTTAGTGAATGTATCAATTGGAAGATCTGGGCAATCAAGAAAGAGCTGTGTACTTTAAAAAAAACAGAATTGAAGAAGTTGATGAAACCAGAAGAGATGAAAATTGAAAGGTCTCCACTCCACTATGTAGTGTAGTAGAGCAGTCTGTATGTATCGTGGGTGAAACTATGGAGGAACCTTGAGTGCAACTCATCCTGTAATTGCTCTTATCTTTACTGATCTTCTCTTTTCTGCTTCAGCTATGGATAACCCTGTAGATCTGACTGCTACCAACATCACCCCCACGGAAGCTCTGCTGCAGTGGAAGGCACCAGTGGGTGAAGTGGAGAACTATGTCATTGTTCTCACACACTTTGCAGGTGGGTGTCTGCAGCCCTATACATTAGGCAGGTGAGGATGGTGGGAATTGGGGCTGAATAATAATGTGAAAGTAAAAAAAAATTCAAAACATCTTGTCAGTCTGATGGACAATCACAAATTTTCCTGCTTCTATTTCAAAGTGTCTCCAAATGTTATAATCTATATCGACTATAGAATCGAGAGAGTTGAACCTTAAAGGTGGGAAAAGAGAATACAACCAAGGAAAAATATAAATAAATAAATAAAAGACAAATAGCACTAGCAAGACAAAACTCAGAATCAGCTAAGACTTGCCCCCAAAATTCTACAAGCAAGAAAGCAGACTTTTCTAGATACTCCAGAGCAAGAAAAGCACTGAAGTTCTAGGACCAAATTTGGGGCAGACACAGGTCTTTCTTAAGTCATATTCAAACCAAAAATTTAAGCCAAAAGTTTAAGAAATCTTTCAGTGTCTTCATCACCATACTTGTTTGACTTATGCTATTGAAGTAGACTAGAGGAGCCCAAAGAAAATAGTACCGAGTAGTCTAAGTATCTAGGCCTGAAAACATGATTTCCTTGTCTAAGTATGCAAGGAAACAGAACTGTTGTGCGTTATGTGCAGGAATCCAGAGAACATAGATACTAGAAGACAGAATGCAGGCAGATGTCTTACTTTTCAAGAATAACTGAGTAAGTCAATTCTGCGAGTTACGAAAATAAGTAACCTTATTGTCAAAGCTTGGGAAAGTAAAAACCAAAGCAGAATATTAAGCAAATTGAAAAAAGAATCAATGATGACTAGATTACTATATACTATATTTTACTAGATTACTATATACTATATTCTAGAACAGGTTAACTAAAAACAAGTACTATCAAAATTATACTATTTCCTTGTTTTTTATTGTTAATTCTGCTACCACATCTGTATCACATCAAGGCACTAGAAAAACCCACTTATCACTTAGATAAAAAATACATAATGGGTCATATTTGGAGAACTGTTGATAAATGAATGGTAATCTTTAAATACTGAATATCATTACTAGTTATATCCTGGACCCTCGAGTCATGTACAGTATATCTGAGCTCCTCTCTCCTATCTTTTCACATCCAGTTCCAGCAATCTGAACTTTCACCAGGCCTTCCCAAGCCACCATGCATTTGCACATGCTGTTTCCTCTACCAGGAAATTTTTTCACTACTTGTCTGCCTAGAAAACAAATCCCTCAAGTCCTAGTTGTAACACTTTTTTCTCTTTCAAACCTTTTATTATCCACCCAAAGTAGCCAGACACACCTGCACAGGTACAAAGTCCTCAGCTTCCATTCTAACAATTAGCTGTGTTTATTCAACAAATACTTTTGATGTCCTTTCATGTACCATATAAGGCCATAAGGATTTAGAGACAAAATACACAGATTTAAGGAACTTAAGCTAGTGAAGCTGCAGATAATTAAAGAGTCACGATTCACTGCAAGCAGCATCATGATATAAGCAAGTATTGAGGACCTTCAGCTGCATCTAATGGTGCTATGATTTGGGGTCAAGGTGTTAAGGGAAAGAAGGAGGCAGTATCAAATAACATCTAAAAAGAGAATAGGAAGAAAAGAGTCCAAGAAAAAGCCCAACCAATGTGCATCTGCAGAAATAGGAAAGCACGAGGAATTTCAGGGAGAGACATAGTTGGGGTGGTTGCAGCGTTGACAGAAGGCAGGATGTTGCAAAGGGAGATACTACAAAGAGAGTCATTAGGTGTGTTCCTCCAGACTTATTCTGCATTTTAGCCTGTTTGTCTGCCTTCTATTTTTTTTTAAGATTTATTTATTTCTGCATACAGAACTGGGGTACAGAGAATTCACCAGAGACACAGTGGGGAGCAGAACAGGCCGACTGATGAAGTACACTGCTGAGGGGAGCAGCAGGCGGGTCAGGAGAGGTCTGCTGTGCCGTGTGGTCACCTCCGGGGCAGGGATCAAACTCGTGCTGAAGTGGTTTTAGCTTCTTAGTGCTGTGCTTTAACCTGCTGCACCACCAGGGAGGGCCTGCCTGCCTTTTTAAGCCAACTACAAGAAAATTGGAACTTCTGGCCCTATCTGATTTGGAGAAGTGTCTAGTTAGCTTTGTTGAATGACTTAGAAATGATACAAAGATTCAACAGAGGGCCTTGTCCCTGATCTAATGAACTGTTTCATCAACAGCTTGATGAGTACAGAGAAGACGTGCTTAGCAAATTTGTGTATAAAACAAAACTGTGATCAAAAGAAATCAAATTCAAATATATCTTAATAAACTGAAACAGTGGCCCAAAATTCAATTCAAAGAGGCAAAATTCAATAGGCCTGCCCGTGGGTACAAAATATCAATGGTACAAGGTCAGGTTAAGGAGGTCACTGTAAACAAGGTCTTTGACTAGTAATTCATCTTAGTATGTGACAACAATATCACATAAATGTCTCAGAACCTAATGAATTAATATAATTGGCGCAAATAGAAACCATGATATTTTTGGTCAGCATATCTCAATCATTGTTCTCAAGTCCCTTCTAGGTTTGTATCCAGCAGTGATACAGTTAAAAACATCACTTGTTTACAGAAAAGTAGCCGGGGTTGCAGTTTTTAGAGTTGACACATAAATGTAATGAGATTTGGAGGCTGAATTTTCTGCTTAGAAGAGAGGGGACCTGATTATAAAAGGTGATCAGGAGGGGGTCACAAGACCAAAGGATTTGGCTTACTCTATGTAACTCTAAAAGCCTGCTTAGAAGCTATAGAAAAGAGGGCCTCCCTGGTGGTGGTACAGAGGGTTAATATCAGCCCTGTCAGGCCAACTGGGGAGCTGACCCACAGGGCACAGCAGACCTCTCCTGTCTCACCTGCTGCTCCCTCAGCAGTGTGTTTCAGTACATCTGCCTGTTCTGCCCTGGACTCTGTCTCTGATGAATCCTCTCACCCCCACATATCTGATTTTTCCCCCAATACTTGTATGTATGAATAAATAACTCTTTTTAAGAAGTTACAGAAAAGACAATTTAGCCTCCAAATAAGGAATATTTTTCTCAATGAAGGTGCAAAACAAGATGAGAGGGGAATCCTTGGATAGAATTAATACTAAGCTAAGTAACCTCTAAGACATTCCTTCCAGAACTCTCTAATAGGAAATCCTTGTGAAATGCCTTTGGAACCAAATATTTAGAATCAAATAGGCTTATTCAGTCCTTATGCAAGTTCATCTCATTTCAGTTGCTGGAGAAACCATCCTGGTTGACGGAGGCAGTGAGGAATTTCAGCTTGTGGACCTGCTCCCCAGTACCCACTATTCTGTTGCTCTATATGCCACTAGTGGGCCTCTCACTAGTGGCACCATCAGCACCAACTTCTCTACCCGTGAGTACATGATCCTCTATATATCTGGCACCTCCAGAAACTTGTGAATCCTGAAAATGGTCATTTTCCTTGTGGGGGACTAGGCTACAATCTTTAGGCTTGATATACTGTAGCCATGAGTTCTAATTTGGGTGGACTGCAGCCCAAATGCCAATGAAAGTGACTGTAACTCACAGTCGGTAGATACTGTCTTCCTTCTCCCCTCGAGTGCTAAACACTACTTGGGTCTGGCTTACAGTAGTAAGATCAAACAAAGAGAGGTGGTAGCGGAAATATATGTGGTCCTGGAAAACCTGATGGACATTAAAGGTGGTGACATCAGGGAGAAACTTGCTGTGAATAGTCATGACAAAAAGAAAAGTAGGCAGAGGTCTAGCTGTGGAGTTGGATAAGTTCAAGAGTGAACTCATGAGGTTGAACTCATGCGATTTGAAGATCATGACCTCAAAGGTGGAGGGTCAGAGTGGAAGATGCCCTACTTGAACCCTGATGCCCTGAATAGGGAAGTGGGGAATAGCCTCATAAGTGAAATAATAACTGATGACACTGAACAGTTATTTCCTGACCCAAGAGTGCTCTTGGTACCCCTGTCCAAGTCAGAACTGGGGTCAGCATGTGAGCGGCCCGGTGACCACATAGGTGGGCGAACATGCCTAGCATCAGACAGGAAGGGCTGGGGGGGGGGGTAGTCACTGCTATCATTTTCTCCTCTTTGCAGTTCTGGACTCTCCTGCAAACCTGACGGCCAGTGAAATCACCAGACAAAGTGCCCTGATATCCTGGCAGCCTCCCAGGGCAGAAATTGAGAACTATGTCTTAACCTACAAATCCACAGATGGAAGCCGAAAGGTGAAGTTTTGCTATAAAGGGAAAAGATCATTTCTGTCAAGCAAGACTATGTAGAAATTGACCTGTGGAAATTGCCTGGGTTTCCGAGTGTGACTGCACAGCAGCCTGTTGAAACACGAACCCTAGTCTGCAAGTCAGATCTCTGGGAATGAGTCCTGCCTCCAGGAGGATTACCTGAAGGCAAAGTACTGATTCTCTCCAAACTCTAGCTTCTTCTCTAGATAATGAGGGCTCCAACCCCTGCAATTTCATCCAACTAGCTCATGATGGTGCTTCCAATATGATGCAAAGCACGTGGGAAACTTCCAAGCCTGTATAAGTATATGGTATTAGAGCAATTTTTCACAACAAAGTCAAGGAGCTGAATACCAAATTCAACTGTCTTTTATAGCTCTTGATAAGTATTATAATGCTTACATCTATGTAGCCTAAGGTAAAAGTCTAGCAATTTTCTGTTTTATGTGATCAGTGCAAATAATCCAGCTAGAGTACTACTTGTCTAACTTTGTTAGCAGTCGAATCCTTTTTCAAAATGATATCATGTTCAGAGGCTGGATGAGAGAGAAGCAGACTGGTCTGGAGGATATGGAGCAGGGAGGTTCCGCACTGTTTCCCAGCTCTCAAGGAGGCCCAGAGCCATCTGACAACCTCTGCCTTCAGCAATCGAGGAGCCAAGGGTTATCCCGTGTGCTCCGTGACACACAGCTGGCCTAAACCTCACATACAAGCTGCCTTCTCTGCTCACTGGCATGGTTTGCTCCTCATGCAGGGGTGGGGACAATGGAAGGGCCTCTGTACACCTGACCTAGCAGGCCACGGGCTCTGCCTCCCCCTTAATATACCCCTCTATCGCGAGTCCACCGCTCCCCTCCACCTCCCTCCCTCTGGCTGGTTCCACAGGAGCTGATCGTGGATGCGGAGGACACATGGATCCGCCTGGAGGGCCTGCTGGAGAGCACCGACTACACCGTGCTCCTGCAGGCAGCCCAGGACACGGCGCGGAGCGGGGTCACCTCCACCGCCTTCACCACGGGTGAGTCTCTCTGCCACTTTGATTCCTTCTTCTCCCCTGCGTGACAACTGGTTCCTCAGCAACCTCTGCTGAGACTTGGCCAGGGAGGAGCTTATCAAAGTAACTGAATTGCTTCTTCCTGCAAGGAAAAGAAATGTTTCTTCCACTCATGACTTCCCCTCCCAAGCCTCTGCCAGGCAACTGCTCACTACCAAGATAACCACAGGAACCAGCAGTATAAATCCCTTATCCACACCTGGACCAAGTCAATGTACCAAGTAAAGACATCAGGTGCCTGTTCAGATTTTCTGCATGTATTTTTCCAGCCACGCTTGTAATCAGATTCAACCAGATAAAGTAATGAGAGAAACCCTCAAGCACACCAAGCTTTTCATTCCTGTGGTCTTGGCTTAGTCCTTTTGGCAACTGGCAAAGAAGGCACTATTATCCCCACTTCACATCTGAAGGACATGGGGATGGCCTCCTTCAGGTACCTCCTTCCAGGTACGTGACAGGGGCAGAACCTGAACCAAATAAAGTTCTAGTTGAACTTTATTTCTTTAAGTCTCAGCCAAAGATGCCTGAAAACATTTTTAATAGGTAAGAGTCACCTAATGTGTGAAATCAACTAATATCTTACATTTGAGGGCTATTTGACAGATAATCTTCTAATTGTGTTACCTGTATCATCTAATATAATCCTCCTGACAGCCAAGGAGGTATGTTCTATTATCTCCATTTACAGAGGAGGAAACTAGGTCACAGAAGCGGAGCCGGGGTTTGACTGGGTAGTTCTGGTGCTGGGATCTCTGGGACCTTTACTTCCACAATTCTTGCTTCCATTTCACATGCCTCTCTATGGTCTGTAATGTGGGTCTTCCTGGCCCAGACTGAACTCACTCCCTGTCCCACATGCTTGAGGACAAGTTTGGGCCAGTGTATATCACCAGATACACTAGGTGTCTGCCTTCCCAGAGTTCCCAGGGGACTGGGTTCCTATCTGTGTTCCAGGTCCCATCCCCCATCCAACCCAGGGGCCTCCCCCACTAAACTTTTTTTTTTATTACAAAGTTTATTTTTACATCATTTTGCACATTTTTTTTTCCATCTCAATTGTAATCCCCGCGGGTTTCCCATCACCAAATCACCCCTGTGCCACCACCATAGTCCCGTGCATTTCCCTCCCTTCCCCCCCCCCCCCCGTTTTTGATCCCATTCCCCACTCCACCCCCACAGAATGTCTCTGGTATATGGTTGTTCATTATTTTTGTTATTTTCTCGCCTGGTCCATTATACTCCTGCTATGAGTGAAACCATCCGGTATTTTTCTTTCTCTTTCTGGCTTATCTCACTCAGCATGATCTTGTCCAGCTCCATCCAAGTTGCTGCAAAAGACATGTGTTTCTCTTTTTTGGTTGCTGAGTAATATTCCATTGTATATATGTACCACATCTTTCTAATCCAGTCATCTACTTTTGGGCATTTGGGCTGCTTCCATGTTTTTCCAATTGTAAATAAAGCAGCAATAAACATGGGGGTACAAGTATCTTTTTCAATCAGTGTTTTTGTGTCTTTTGGGTAGATACCTAGGTGCTCCCCCACTAAACTTTTAAATGACAAAGCAAAATGAACTAGTGAGATTGAAAATGAATCTTCTTTTCCCCTCTTGTTACTTTCTCATGTCTCACAAAGTGTCTATAATGACCATGCTAGTCAGAAAACAACTTTTCTAATTAAAAAATAAAAATAAACCTTGGTCACAAACAAGCCATGAATCCAAGCTGTGTCACCATGTGAAATCTGGAGGACACTTGACCTCTTCGATGACGCTGAAGTCAATTATAGTTCCCATTCAACCTCTCAAAAGGATCTTACTTCACAGCCAAGGTGCTATCCTCCGCTTGTTCAAGGCCTCCCCTGCACATTCACAGGTTAATTAAAGGGCCCTCTGCTGTGTTCTTTTTCAAGCTACCACCCAAAGACCCCATGAATTGGGGCTTTTCACGGAATTAAGCATTTCTTTCCCTTAAAAAGGACACAGATGACAGGAACATCAGCAGAGCTCCCAATTTGCATATTTATTAAGTCTAAACTAATCATTTCATCCCCCAAATGCATGGGTTTCAGTGCTTGCTCAGTGTAGTATGAGCTTTTAATTCCCATCCTGGTAATGCCACAGCTGGTGGCTGTGAGCAGTATGACAATATGCCTGAGGTTTCTGCACTATCTTGCAGCTGTGCCTTACTCCAACCCACCTGGATTATGAAAGTGTACCAGCTTCTGTGCCCCTCTCGCCTCTTGACATGATACTGCCTCAGGGAGAATGCAATAGTTTGGGTCTGGGATCCCAAATCCAGCTGGGGGCTCAGCAAGATTCAACACGTGAAGAGTTGCTAATTCGTGAAGATGTGGAAAGGAGGTAGCGGAGGCCAGTTTTGTCTGGTGGGCTGTGCAGGAAAACCATAAGAGTGTGTTTAGGTGTGTTTTGTTTGCTTGCTTGTTTTCATGAGCCTCCAGCTGGCACTGGCTCCTGGGGCATGACCAATACCAATGCGGAAAAGAGGACAATCAGAGCTCTGCAGCCTGTACGATCAGTGTCATTACTGACCAAGTTCTTCCACTGAGAGGTTCGGGGAGTAGACACTGCACCCCTACCCCAACATGGAAAAAATGTGTCCATGTCTAGCAGTTTTGGCAGAATTTTAATGGAAAGCTCAAATTTAGACTTAAGTCACTGATGTGTACCAAACCCTGCTGCCTTTGTCTTAAAGAGATTTTTCAGAACCCACTGGAATGGCCAGTTGCAGAATGAGAAATTTGCGCACAAATTAATGCATATGAACAGATGATGCACAGAGTGTGGCACACAGGTCAGGCATAATAAATGTCAGTGGAACTGAATAGTTACATTCCAATTGCAGAGTAAGCAGAAGGGATTGTGTGGAAACAAAGCTGTAGGAGAGGAGTCCCAAAATCCCTGCTGGGCAGGCACAAAGACGGCCGGCCTGTAGTATGATGTTTAAAGTCCCTCTAACTTCAGGCTCTTTCTGCCACCCCAAATGCAAATTTCTCAGAATAAATTCCACTATACCTACGTGGTCATTTGCGTGTCAATATTAATGAATCCTCCTTGCCTGTGTCATCTTCCCCCCCCCCCACACACACACCTTTTCTAAATGTCCGCGCCAAATGCAAATTTGTCTAGGAGGAAGAGAACACAGAGGTATCAGCTTCCTGAGGTAGAGGTGAGGATGTTTTCAGTAAGGGAAAGATTGAGGTTTGCCTGGCAGGTGACATGAACTAGATTCCTCATAGAGGAATCTAGACATAGGATGAGGGTCTCCGGCAGTCAGGACACCCAGGTATTTCTCATTCCCGGACTCCCAAGAAGGTCTCCCAAGACACATTGAGACTGAATTGTTTTTGCAAAGAGTGGTTAAGGCAGCAGCACCTCAGGCCTGGCGGGTTTTGATGCATCAGTGCATTTCAGCCGCTCTTCACCTTCCTGCCTGCCAAAAGGACCTGGACTTACTACCCCCGCACTTGAACCTATAGCACACCCTCCTGTGGGTTCCAAGGTGGGGAGAGAGGAGGAGGAGAAAGAGGAAGAGCAGAGTATCTTACTTAGCTTACTCAAAAGATGGGCGTACAGAACCCCATGAACTACTCCTGCTGATCAAGAGGTCTGAGGAATACCAGAAGCACACTATGGGATGACAAACCAGGCTGACAGATTTAGAGGCTGATTTCATTCTAGTAACTGGCATCTTTTCAGACTTCATTGACAACACTGGAGCTTTTCACTTAGTATCCTATTCTTAGGTCACACTGATCTCAGCTGATCATTCTACACATTTTTTATGCCTTTGCTTATGAAACAAAAGCACTTAAAGTTGGGCCCTAAACTCAATTCCTTACACTGACAAACCCTCATTTGTCCTGGGGGGCCAAGATTAGAGATTCATTTCAAGCTGACGCCTACTTAATGGTCTGGAAAAGTTTGATGTTTTAAAAAATAAAAGAGAGAAAAAGAAAAGAACCAGCTCCCACAAAACCTCAAACACTCTTTTGATCAAGATGTCTTCCCTTGTTGCATTCTGCCATAGAACATAAACCCATTTCATTCTTTCTATCATGTTAATAGCTTCCTGTTCTCTTGTCTCTGGTGTTTGCATAAGACTCTGGGGGGAATTAAATACAAGTAGTATGGAAGAGAAAAAATATGGATACATTATTTATAATTTACTGTAGCCTGAAATTTCATCCAAGGTCTACTTGTCTTTTAGAGACATGAATATAAATGAGGAAACAAATATTCCCTGCTGAGTAACAGGGACTTGGTAAAATAATATCTTGTGAGAAGCAGGTTTCATTGTCTTTTTAATACTATAAGAAGCAAACAGGGTATTCGCTAAAGCTTGTCCGCAGAGACAGTGAACACCATAAAATGGGTTGCCTTGACCTTGAGGTTAAGTGAAGACAATCATTTGCGGAAGTGCCCAGAGATGGGTAATGAGTTTTCTTTATTGCCTTTGTTCCTGTCCCTGCTGTCTCACATCCTGGCTGAGCTCCTCTCTGGGCATTTCAGGAAAACACTAGGAGTCCACTTTTACACAGCTTTTGTTTTTGAGGTTGTGAAAACTAATGCAGATTGGCAAACCCTGGGCTCTGGGACAATAGGTGTGGGGTCACGCAAACTTGCAGTTGCCAGTTGGAAAGGAAAGCCTGCCGATCACTAACCCCGGCTATCTGCTCTCACATATGCCACACTTCCCCTTCCAGGGAGGGAACTGAAAAGGCTGGTTCTCTCTGCTCCACTACGTAGAAACAGCGAATGTTCTTGTTCCACTGAGACAATCAAACCCTCGCTGCCAAAAGAGAGATGCACCTTCCCTGTGCTTTAGCACCTGCTGTAAGGAAGGAGGTAGAACATGAGGCATCCCACTTGAACAAACTATCCCCCTGCATGTCCAGCTCTTATGATGCATGGGTGTCCAGTGAGATGTCTGAATGAATCATAC